CAGCCAGAGTGCTCCTTGGAGGCCAGGATGGCCAGACTTCGTTTCTCATGCTTTGGACATAATGTCAGGAGAGACCAGTCGCTGGATAGGGATATCACATTTGGCAAGGTGGAGCGTCAGAAAAAAAGAGGAAGACCCCCAGCGAGATGGCATGGCAAAGTGTGGCAGCATCAATGGGCTCAAGTGTGGCAATAATTGTGAAGTTAGCCCAGGACCAGGCAGTGTTTCATTCTGTTGTGCATAAGGTCGCTATGAGTCGGTACCAACTCGATGGCACCTAACAACAAGTTCATCAGAGGCTATGGTGCCACTGTTCCTACATCTTTATCTTTGTTGTGTTAATTGTTAAGTTCCACCGAGTAGGCGCTGACTCATAGCAATTCTGTATAGGGTTTCCAAGGAGCAGCTGGTGGATTTGAACCGCTGACTTTGCAGTTAACAGTCCAGTGCTTATCCTACAGCGCTAGAGCAGGACTCCTTCCAATTGTTATTGTTGTTAAGTGCCATCAAGTCAGTTCCAACTCATAGCAACCCCCTACAGTTCCCCACCAGGAATCTTGACTTAAGCATTAAACCTCCAGAATCAGCATTAATCTGATTTTGTTTATGGTTCTAAAAGTAAAAATACTTAATGATCATTTTTCACTTTCTCCTGATAGTCCCAGCCATTTATGGATTACCCTTATAATCAATGTGCAGTAGTTGGAAATGGAGGAATTCTGAATAAGTCCCTCTGTGGAGCTGAAATAGATAAATCCGACTTTGTTTTCCGGTAAGACTTATCAAGTTGATTTCTTTGAAACAAATGATGTGTTGGTTCTTTTAACGAGATAATACTATAGGACCATGGGCGATGCAAGCCATTTGCAATCAGCTGTTAACCTAAAGGTTGGGGGTTTGAATCCATCCAGTGACTCTACTGAGGAAATGCCTGACAAACGGCTTCCATCAAGATAATAACTACAAAAACCCAGGTTTCTAGCAAGAAGAATTAACTGGATGGTAACAGGTTTGTTTTGTTTTACTTTTCAATAAAGGTACCCCATGTACATTTTGACCTTTGAGCTGTGTTGCTGAGTTCTAAAAATGGTGCAGATAGGCCTTTTTTTTTAAGTGTTAGCACAGATCATAAATGCCTCAGAAGGTTTATACAGGAAATCAAACATGCACTTTTTAAAATAAAAATGTTTATACAGGAAGTCAAACACTTTCAGAAACTCTGGGTGAAATCCTAATGATTGGAGGGTTCTGTGTTGCAGGGCTCATCTGAGCCATCAGTATGCCAATGGGTACCACGACTCCCAAGAGGAGCTCTGTTGAACAGCATTTTCCAGGCTCCTCTGATCTTGCAAACTTTTTTATAAGCAGAGCCTTTCAAGGAAGTTTTGTTCTCAGAAAGTACAAGGAGACTTCAAAAAGTTTATGGGAAAACTCCTTTACGTTTCATTTTATTTTTTCTATGAACTTTTTGAAGTCCCCTCATACTTGGGGTATATGCTGATTGAGCCATCATGCAACCATGTAGATTACTGTGCATTTAGTTATCTGGCTTTAAGTTAAGACAATGTTGTATAGCTGCTAAATTCTGGTCTTTTAAAATGTTTTGTATTTCAGTACCAACTAGTTTGAAAAAAGAAGGAACAAAAATGGATCTCTGTGTGCCTTGTGCTAATAAGCCATGCTACAGAGCATTTCCACTTTCAGAGTCTGATAGAAAGATGATTCATCCATCTGAGGATGAATTTCAATTGAGAAGCACCTTTTTAAAGAGTAAATAGAAATCTATTTCCTCCTGTTTTAGTAACAATGATTCCATACATCAGAGGAAAGCCTTTGATGCCTGCTGACTTAATGGTACCATTTTTAGCAAGGAAAAAACAAACCAACATGATTTTCAGTAGATAACACCTCCCTCACCTTAATTGATCTCATTTTAAAAATTTATGCTGAAGATAATGACAGAATAGCAGTAGACCTGGCAATGTAACAATCATTGAATGTGGTCTTCTTGATTAATGTTAAAATGGCCAATACCTGAGTGATTTAGCTATTTTGTTAAAGTATTCAATGTGAAAAAGCCATAATGAAGATAAACACTTCTTCTTTCAAAATACTTTTTATAGACATGAAGTCTTTGTGTGGCACTGTAGGGTAAGCACTTGGACTGCTCCTTGGAAATCCTAAATAGGGTCACTATGCTTCGGAACCAACACAATAGCACTTAACAACAACAACAAAGTTCTAGAAGTATCTGTGTTGGGTACTATGCCTAAATATTCATTATATTTTATATCAAATACAAGAAATACAAGTTTAGGCTTAAAAACAAATAAAAATCTGGACGGCTTTTAAATTTATAACTTTAAAATAAATGCCTCTTTCTAGAGTCTTCATTGACTGATGCCGGATATTTTTCAGAATAGGGATTTCTCGTTGAAGTTAGCCATCCAACTTGAAAGGCAAAATAAGGACTGGATGTGGTTTATGCCATTTAAATTTATTTAATGCTTAAGCCTGTACTAATTTTGATTATGCCTATTCTTGGTGTGGCATGGTGGGTTAATGCACTGGACCACAAGGTCATTTGAATAGCAGGGTCAGTATTGAAACTCACCAGCCTCTCCTCAGAAACTCTCTACGGGGTCGCTATGAGTCAGACTGACTTGATGGCACTTAACAACAATAACAACATATGTAGTTTAGGAGCCCTGGTAGTATAGCAAATTATGATCTGGGCTACTAACCACAAGGTTAGCGGTTTGAATCTACCAACTGCTCCTCAGGAGAAAGAGTAACCTTTCTGTTCCCATAAAGATTTATAGCCTTGGAAACTCTACACAGACAGGATCACTATCAGTTGGAACTGAATTGGTGGCACACAACTACCACCAACTACCATTTATAGTTTATAATACAATCTGAAAGGTGGTTATTGGCATTTCTTTTTTGCGGTTGCTTCAGAAAATTGTGAACTATGGCTTAAGTGTGTGAGGGATAGATATAGTTGGCTTTGCTATATATAAAAAAAAAAAAAAAAAAAACGAAAACACCCAGCTCCCATCCAGTTGATTCATTCTCATCAAAACCCCTTGTATGCCATAATAGAAGTTTGCTCCATAGAATTTTTTTTTTTTAATTAAATG